ATTCTAGAAGCGAACAATTGGAGCGCTGTGCCTAAGGAAAGATTATAGCCTAGACTGCTGCCAACTGAACAAACCCCAGTAACACACACACACACACACACACACAAAATGCAAAAATGCCTTACCCCTCCCTAATAAAAAAACATCTCCAACTTAACAATTGATGTTTGTATTACAAGTGCATCGTCTTTTTCTTGCACTCCTAAACTTCAATTCCATGGACAAATATAACAGTTCACACTCTCGGTAGTGTCACAGTGTAAGGCCTTTCATTCATTTTTGCTGCAAACAGGAACGTGCCACTTGTGCTCTGAGCGCAGTTCATGTTGCGTCGGCGGATCAGCAGACAAACCCTTCAGGTCTGATACTGTGTGGGCTCATGAATTCAGCTCACGCTGCGCTGCTGCACTCCCCTCGCTTCAACTTTTCACTTCTCCTTGAAAACATGAATCATACACCGAGGGGAGGACCATCCGGAGAAAACAAGTTGCAGGGGAGGTTGGTGCTTTGTACCTTGTACGCGTCCACCACCAGCTCTATAAGGTTCGGGGCCTGGAAGAAGCCCAACTTCCCCAGGTAGGAGCCAGGTAGCAAACGCACCAACTCCTAAAGCAGAAAAGGGGAGAAGAGGGTCAATGTGAATGATTCCCCCTTACGGACGCCGCTGGAGACTCAAAACTATGTGTTCAACAGTTTTTTTCTGCCATATGCTGAATGTTGTTGTGTGCAAATGTGTGGAAGAGATTACCTCGTACCACTGGTATTGCTGCTTCTCCACAGCGAAGATAGAGTGCATATGGTTTTCAAGCAGCTTATCAGACAACAGACCCACACTGGGATGGTCCTGAAAAGCGGACAGACATACTAAATGCTTAAAAAAACTATTTTAGGAAAAATAAATGAAATAAACCTTTTCTTGGCAAAAGGTAGAAAGAAGTTAAATATGAAGCTACCATGAGCAGAAAAAACAAAAAATTCACAAATGAACACAGTATATCGTGTTTGTTTAATCATTACACAAAAAAAAGACTCAAAGTTCAACTCTTTTTAAGCCCCTTCTCCTGAGTGCCGTGTAAGAGTCCTGCTGCTCTCACCATCTTAGTGCTCCCCGTGTAGACGTTGTTTTCCAGGTGACACAGGCCGTCATGTGGCGTCACGATCCCTGCCAGCCGGCTGTCCAAGGCGAGGTGAGACGGCTGGTCGGTCATCAGCAGCAGCAGGCGTTTGGCGTCTGGTCGCCAACCTACCGATCTCTGAGAAGGGGAGACGGAGAGGAGCCGGGGCATGGCGGATAAATGTATTCGCTCTCCGGGAAGAGCAGTTTAATATAGATTTCTGGCCCCTTACGTCACTACACAGCTATATTTACACAGACTGGAAATAATGTGGAAATAATGTGCGTTTTGTGTATTTTTTTTACACAAAAAACTGCAAAACATTTCAATCATCTGCGTTACAATAGTTCCTGTGGAGATGAGCTATTTCTGTAATGCCCGGCTAAAGAAAACACAGCAGAAATTCCTCAAACAGTCACAAACTCCCTCTTGACGTGTGTGTGACTTGTCAGGGAGAAAGTTAATATGAGCACGTGTGTGGCGGTGCGTGTGTGTGTGTGTGTGTGTGTGTGTGTGTGTGTGTGTGTGTGCACGTTCATAAGTAGGAGTGACCTAATGGAGAGTCTATTTCTGGCGTGATGAGGTGTTTCCCTTCCCTGGAGGCTGGTTACTTAGGGCCCCCTGCATGGTTTGACTCAAAGTTCTCCTGCAGCCACAGCATAAACAACTGTGTGGGTGCGTGCGTGTGTGTCGGTTTGTCTGCCATACCAAAGCCATGGCGTCATTACTTAATGGGATTCCAGTGGCAATATCCGATGCTGAGTCAGAGCGCCGCCATTCTCCCAGAATAAATGCTTCTTTCAGCAGCGCGCCAACCTACGACCATATTTGGGGCCGAGCCTAATTTTCCCAAAACATTTCCTAGATTCTCGAGGAAACTGACCGACTACGGCAAATATTTTATTAACCCTGCTTCTCATTCTTTCACCAGCTCCCGTGGGCCCGGGCCCTCCAGCTCCTGTGAGTACACACCTGGCACACGGCGGCCTGCAGCATCGCATCCAGTCCCCCCTCAGGCGTGTCCATGTTTCCGGAGATGCGCTGGCGTTTGATGACACGTGTGAACTCGCTCATATTACTGGTCATGCTGAGGACGTGGTGGAAGCCGTGGGCGGGACGACAGCGGATCTCGTAGTCACTGGTGAGGGAAGGAAGACCGCACACAAAGTTCTGGATCGCAGACGAACTGACGGGGCTCCAGATGAACGTCACACGGGAGCAACTCATGGGAGCAGCTGGCTTTTGGGGGCATTGGTTTATACACGCCGAAATCACCGCTGTTATTGCCCCATATAAGGAGGTGTACAACAAGACTAACTTTGTAACAGAAGCAACCAACGATGTGTCAAACCTGCAGGGGTTGTCAATCTTGGAGGAGTGAACATTGATGTAAGGGGACACCGGTTTGTCCACAAAGGAGCCGAAACCCAGCCACAGGTCCGAGGAGTGCTCGGCCATGCGAAAGGACAGCGCCACACCGACCGTCTTCAACTGCACCACAGACAAAGTAGAACGGCACAAAGTGGTAAAGCATGAGACAGAAGAGAGAGAACAATGTTTTAACTAGATTAAATAAGGTTTAAATCGGACATTTCTGCTTTTAATTCCGTGTCACCCGTCCGGCACGTAAAAACAGTGTCCTTCTCATCTCAGTAATACCAAACTGTTAAGGTGTAATGATCCAGAATTTAGTTCAAAAAGGTCCACTCCTACGTGATCAAGGTTTTCCTGCATAGACGCAGATACGTCAACGAGGCAGTACAGGTCCACTGGATAACGCTCCAGCTGCTTCACGGCCACTATGGCGCTGGCCTCCGAACCTACGCACGCACACGTGATGAAATAATGCATTAAAGATACAATCGATTCCCGACCGACAGAGGCGCAAACGCAGGGTTGCCCTTTGTCTACCTGGTCTGAGGGTGATGCTGATGTCTTGTGGGGACACTTGTGTGCTGCTGGCGGTGGCGTCGACCTCCACCTTGATCTCCGACTGCTCCATGAACTCCCGGTCGCAGCCTCTCCTCAACAGCTTCACTGGCGAGTCGCAGCGCTGGCTCGGCACCAAAAAGTCCTAGAGGTCACAAAAAGGTCAAGGAAGCGACACAAAAAGTCCTAAAAAACAGACCGGAGAAAAAGCTTCCAGGCAGTTGTTGAGACGACACAACTAAGCCGCATTTTAGGACGTTATCACGACAATCGCATATGAGGAATGAGAGCAAGTGACACGATGAAGTGGGTCTGGTTGAGCACCAAATGATCCCGTGTGACCCGAGGGGCAGGACGCACTTATGTTGCACACTAAATCCATTGACAAATGTAGAAGTATCTCATCGCGGAGGAAAGGAGAGTTAATTGAAAGTGGCAACTCGGGTGGATAGATAAGAGAGTAGATTCTCTTATTCAGTATATTATTTAATCATTGCTTCATTGAATGAGTCTATGTATCTAAGCTCTGCACCCAACCGTAAAGTACAACGGCATCATGCATTGCGGCTTTGTGCTGGATTAGTGACCTTTGGAACTTTCCTTTGAGGGAAACATGCTTACAAACATAAGCACTTAAGACTCAAATGGGATCATTAAACGTGTTTACGCCATTAAAACAGATTCCTGACACTTTTAAAAACAGAAACACGGCCGCGGACAAGCAAAACAGTCTCCCGTAAATAACCTGCAGCAAATGATTTGCCTGAGCCGTCCCCGTAGTAAAGGGCGTGTGGTGACTTCCCCGGACTTTCCACGACAGTCTGTGCCCTTCACCTAATGTCAATGGTGCGAAAAAGTAGCATGCATGCTTTACAAGCACTGTACTTATTATTCAGTGCTTGTCCAAGCAGCACTGTACTTATTATTCAGTGCTTGTCCAAGCATGTGACGGTTTGTGTGTGTGTGTGTGTGTGTGTGTGTTTGTGTAGCGAGCCCGGCCCCACTTAATGAGTCCAGTTAATGTTAAGCCTCACAGGATGGGAAAGCACCTGAAGTCCGTAAACACCTTTTGCTACCCGTATGGCGCTGGAAGTCTTAACAGCAGAGGGGGGGCGGGGGGGATGGGGGGGATGGGGGGGATGGTAGGGGGGCTCTTTACTGGGCAGGAGAGAGCCGAGACAGGAAAACACAGAGGCAGATGCACACTGCCGTAGTGATACGTGTGAGCGCCCAGACTAAACATATGGATAGAAAGTGGCTCTGTCTCTGCTGGCCATGAGAAAGCCCACATGGAAACATTCACACACACACACACACACACACACACACACACACACACACACACACACACACACAGACAGACACAGGTCAGGCCACTAAGCCCGAACATACACATTATATCCGCATCTGTGGATGGCATCAAAGCTTCAGTGTGTGTCATCTGAGGAATGTCGCCACACCGTCCTCCCCGCCCCCTCCCTGTCACACTCAAACACGCACTTTTGTATCCACATTCCTACCTTCTTAAAGCACCAGGCACACTGCGGTCCACGTCCGAGGCACTCTGCGCAAGAAGTGACACCGGGAGACCAACACGCACTGTCACCTGCAGAGAAAGAAAGCCGGCGGGTGTCAACACTCATCGCGCCCGAGCCCCTGTGTGGAGATCCGCAGCACACTCGTGTCGACGCAAAGCAGCAGGTAGCCGCTCGCGTGAGGCCATTCGGCACCTGTCGGCCGGCCGCGCATTGAGAAGAGGGTCTGTGAGTGTGGGAGCAGGTGATTCAGGTTGTTCAAGGGACCAATTCTCACAGCCACACACACACAGAGTGCGAGACAATCTGTGATCGCAGCCCAGATTAGAAGTTTGAATGGAGTGACCCTGTGACGATGCTACTGTCTATACAATTTAGACGCTTTAGGTTTTCACCTGTGTGACAATAAACTTTTAGTTTACTGTAGTGGACTAATGTTATTCATTTGGGTGATTTGTCTGCTGAAATCACATTTTCTGGAGTCATTTCATCGTTGCGGGGCTTAAATGTGGGACAGAGAAACGCTGCAGGCCCACTGGCATCACCAACACCAACAAGCGACTCAGAGTAGGGAAGCATTTAACTCATTTGATCAATACATGCTGAAACAAGAGGTGCATGTGGTCTGATGGTGGGGGGTTCGGGAACATTATTCTCAAATGCTCATAACCCCCCCGCCCCCTGCGGAGAGCACGGCACGGGTAGTGATGTACGTAATTGGCCCTAACGAGCCTCCAACTCACCGGCGTCGGACGCGACCACCACGCAGCAGAGCAGGAGACGGACGTATGTGCGGAACCAGGAAGTCATGTTATCCTATCCACACCGGGGGGTGGTGGTGGGGTGAAGCTACTGGAGATGAACCGGGGGAGACCGGGCACCTGGCGTCCGCCGCCGCCGCCACAAAAGCCGGGAGTGCCGGACCGAGGCGCGGGGCATCGTCGCTTCTCCGCCCGGTGACCCTTTCTAATCCCGGAGAGACGCTCTATTCACGGCGGCTGCGGCGCGATGTCCCTCCATCCGCTCCCATCCGGCGCGCAGGTGCGCGACGCTCGGACCTGCGCGCGTCCTTCCGCGGTCCTCGTCTCACAGCTGACGGCGAAGCCTCATGTCTGGGGGACGGCGCGCGGAGCAACACGCTGACTGAACGTCCCGCACGACGGCCGGGAGAGCGGCGGCGTTATTAACCGCTGTACGTGTGAGCCGGGCGGGCGGCGCCATGGCAACGACGCTCTCTCTCTCTCTCTCTCTCTCTCTCTCTCTCTCTCTCTCTCTCTCTCTCTCTCTCGCTCTCTCTCCCCCTCTCGGGTCAGAGAGGGAGGGAAGAGAGACAAATAAGTAGAGAGAGCGGGAGAAGTGAGAGACAAAGTGCTTACTACAAGGAATTGTGGTGGGGTTGCATTCCAAGTAATCTCTTGGCCTTGAAGTGAACACACTGATGTTTATATTACGTCTTCAGGGAGCCATTTAATCCTGGGACCTTGGCAGTGTGTTGATGATGGGGGGCGAAGGGGGATGGGGATGGGGGGGTCGATACAGACAGAGCTCCTGCAGAGGGGTTCACAGGCCCGGTGCTGAGGAGGAGGCGGAGGAGGGGGTTTGAGTCCATTGTACGCAGATTCCAGTGACATGGAGTAACCCCGCCGGCTGCGCCGCCGAGCAAGCGGCCAAGACTCACCAAACAACCCGACGTTTTAAGCTGGAGGACAACAGTTCCACGCTGTAGGACAAAAGGCACAATAGTCGCCCATCTTTGGCATCGTGTGCTTTTTTTTTTCTTCTCCCGAGCAAACCAATTCACAAGCACACACTCGAGTCCCTCATCTACTCTGTGTGACCCCCTTTCTGTCAGGCAGGGTCCAGGGGCTGAGCCAGCTACGCCCCCCCACTCTCCATTCACATCATCTCTAGGCCCGTGCCCCCCACCAGTCACTCTCAATTATGGTAATGACGCAAACACACACCACACTGTTTTTTTTTAGAGTGTGTGAAACGTCTCTGAAATGCAGGTTCCAAGTCGCAGAAGAGGGGATGAGGGGTTGGGGGGGGGGGGGGGGTATGAAACATAGATCTATTACCTGCTGAGAAAACTCGGTAATGGACTCTAATGTAAACAGTCGCAGGAGCCTGTCAATACTGGTCAACATCAGCATCTTTCTGACAACTGTCGTCGTTGTAAAGGTGACACAAAACACTCCTCGTTCCACCGCCCCCCCACACCCACCTTTTCTTTCTCCACCCGTGGTGTGTTTGTGTTAGCGGTCGGCTGGGCTTTCCATCACGCTGGTCTGGTCTCATCACCCTCCAACCACACACCAACACAGCATTAACCCCCCCGCCCCTCTATCACTCAAACAACGTTCTTTCCGAATCGCCCCTTCAACGGTCGAGTCATATCACTTGTTTTACTCTGGGAAGCGTCTCCCACTATCACCTTTCTGCCACTAACAGTAGGGGAACCAGGATCCTGTGGGAGGTGGGGATTCCCGATGCACAGGGGCGGAAGTGCAATTCACCTTTGTTTATGTAACAAAGTGCTTTTTTTATGTTTGCCTTGTACATTTGCAGTATTTACACATACTATTTTCACTGTAAGTAGCCTTTAGCCTAAATGTACTGTGGGCTACTTCTCCACGTTTCAATTTGTCTCCGTTACAGAGTACTGAATAGAAAGGAGATATATCAGCAGCTGAAACAGAGAAAAATCTGCAGGTGTGCCTACCTGGAGGTCATATGATACTTTAGTAAATGGATGTTTTCACGGGCCGATGTTGGCGTGCGCGCTGGCACTACAAGCATAATCAAATGCAGTCACTGTGGGTTGTGCATATAATCACCATTGCTGCATAAATAAATAGTAAAATGTATCTATTCCCATTAGTGACTGATTTCATTGACAACTATACACTGTTCGTGAGCTGTATGGGGGGGCACGCTGTGTCTAGCTGACATGCTAACAGGCTTGTCCAGCATCGACTCCGGCCTTCACTAACAATAATTGCGCTGCTAAATACGTTATTTACTATTTACTTTCACTGGTATCCTATACCTCCCGCCTCCCTTCTCTCTCAGTCCGCCCCATTTAAATTGTAAAGTACTCAGAATATATTTGAGCTGTCCTGCATGTATACTTTACCTGCTTAAATACATTAACTACACATACTTTTACTTGAGTAACCCTTGACCTCAGTGGGCCAAAGGGTAGAGTGCGTTACTCAGGAAAAGCAAAACCTTTGTGTGTGTCAACGTAATTGATTGAAGGCTGTGTATACTTCCTCTATTTCCTCATGAACTATGAGTTCCCCTCATGTGTCAGAATCTGGCATTTAGTCAAATGAATTCCCCAGCAGAGTATTTCCATCCCACATACAAGTAATTCACCTACACACACACACACACACACACACACACACACACACACACACACACACACACACTGAATCGTCCTGTTTCTTGTTTCCAATTAAGCTTTCTAAACTGTGACTTCTACTTCCACAGACAAAATCAGTGTCGACCGTGGAAACTGAACACAGAAGTGAAATTATTGATGTAATAGTGAAGCGACAATTAATACAGGCAATGACATTGTTTGGTCTGAGTCCTCGTGTCTACACTTCCCCTTTTAAATATCATTGTGGCAACAATCTGTTTGTTGTGTGATATAATGTCATACATGTTTTTAACACTTCAAAGGTCAACAACCATTTGTAAACTTGTAATTACAATGTTAGTTACCTGCACTAACTCTCCAGCATGGAGGTTGGGTGGCTGCTCCGACCCCGGGAACAGGGGATTAACGGGATACATTATCCTCTGTTTGTGTGCATAACTGACATGGCCTGCACTGTGTTTTTCCACATTCAGAGAAAGTTTGTGAGACGCTTTTATCGTTTGCCATTAAAGTTAGGCAATTCATTTATCGCGAGTCCAGCCGAAGCCTAACTCTGCGTGGTAAACAAAGCGGCCCGCTGTTCCTCTGTTCAATGTAATGTGTAAAAAAAGTAGACTCAAGAAGTAGTCTTCCACATTACTGTTATTAACTCATTTCACAGGTTTTATTTGATGGTGTAGACTTTTATTTCCCTACACACTTTATTTCAAATATTCACTTTAGAAACCTCCTCCAAAATTGTATTGTTATGTAAAATTAACTCTGATTTCAGAACTATGTTATTGTATTTGATATATTTATCAAATTATAATTCAGGTATTGAAATCAGATAAGGGACTGAAAAAGTGCATTGACGCATTTGATGGGGATTTTCACCTGGAGATTTGAAGCTCATGTGAAAGTATTTCTTACGCTGTTGTGGGGTCAAATCCAAAATATTCAACACTGCCCATGTTCATCTTAATAAAGGAACATGTAAGAACATTTAAGCGTGTTTTCTATTTGACGACCCTCTCTATCCTGGAGAGAGACGTTAACCGGCTCTTTAAAAGACAAAATCCCCGTAAGGCAGCCGGTCCGGACTCCGTTTCCCCTCACACCCTGAAGCATTGTGCTGACCAGCTGTCTCCGGTGTTCACTGACATCTTCAACACCTCCCTGGAGACATGCCACGTACCAGCCTGCTTCAAGGCCTCCACCATCATCCCTGTTCCCAAGAAGCCCAGGATCACAGGACTCAATGACTACAGGCCCGTCGCCCTGACCTCTGTAGTCATGATGTCTTTTGAACGGCTAGTCCTGACCCACCTGAAGTCCCTCACCGACCCCCTCCTGGACCCCCTGCAGTTCGCCTACAGAGCCAACAGGTCTGTGGACGATGCTGTCAACATGGCCCTCCACTACATCCTCCAGCATCTGGACTCCCCAGGAACCTATGCCAGGATCCTGTTTGTGGACTTCAGCTCTGCCTTCAACACCATCATCCCGTCTCTGCTGCAGGACAAACTCTCCCAGCTGCACGTTCCCGACTCCACCTGCAAGTGGATCACAGACTTCATGTCCGACAGGAAACAGCACGTGAAGCTGGGGAAACATGTCTCAGGTCTTGTTCCAGGTCTCTGAAGCGAGCTAAAAAGATCGTAGCCGACCCCTCTTACCCCGGACAAAAACGGTTTGTGCCCCTTCCATCTGGGAGGAGGCTGAGGTCCATCAGGACCAAGACCTCCCGCCACACGAACAGTTTCTTCCCGTCGGCAGTCGGGCTCATCAACAGAGCCCGGTCCCCCACTGACTGACTATAACATTCCACCGGTCACTCCCCTCCATACTGCACATGCCACTTTAACTGCAACGTTTCACTTTGTCGTGTTTCCTGATTCCTGATTCCGGATTTTGATAAATGTAGAGTGAAGTAAGATATGCACTCTTTATTTAACATGTTGTGTCGCTGTGCCAGTTGTTTCCTCTTTTGGGAACTAAATGTGCATTTGCTCTTTATGAATAATGTATTTCTTGACTTTCAGTGCAGAACAGTGAGTCTTTAGAAAACCATAAATGAGAAGAGCAAATGTACAAAATACCATATATAGATCCTCCTCTAGCTAGTACAGTGCAATTACAATTACATTTCTTAAAAAGGAACAATAAAGACGTTAGTTGTTATAATCTGTTAAACTCGAACACATTTATTTCTTTTAAGCAGTAGTTAGATAATAACAATCCAGGGTTTGGCATATGTGTGGCTCAGTTGTTACTGCGAGCTGTGTACCATAAAAGACATAAACTCAGTCCTTCCAAATGAAATAATGCTACAAACAATGAATTGGATCAAAATTATTCAACTTGAGGCCAATAGCAAAAGTGATATGACCTGTGAAGTGAAATGTCAGAGATAATTTGATTGAGTCATAATAAATAAGAAAAATCCCAATCTCTTAGATCCTACTCTCTAGTTGTATTGTTTGCAAGACTGTGTTTTCATATTGAGAAATAAAACCCTATAAATTCTGTTGCTCATTCACGCAACTTCCTTCTCCATCTGCTAGTGTCAGATGGAGAAGGACTGCAAACATGACGTGAATTTATGTTCTTACAAATGTTCAACATTTGCTTAACTCTCCGCCATTCTGGAGAAGTTCAAAAAGTTCTGCCCTTCCATAATTTAATCTACGGAAAAGTTGAATGTATTGTATGTCACGGAATGCGAACAAACAGTATCAAATATTTTCTTTGAGGTTTCATGGTCGGAATAATGGCATGCACTTAAATTTCGGCAAACATCCGTTTGTAACCAAGGAAACCCCGTGGTTCTTATCGCGTCAGTGCTGTGAT